GCGTATTGTGAGATTTTGAAGAAAATACCATCCACTATCTCTTAACTGTGAGATGAAACACCTATCATCTGTCTTTATTTCTGATATTCATCCAGTGAAACCCGCTATTAATTAAACTTGTCTTGCTGGTATGAATGGGAGCCAGCCAGGAGATTCGCCGCGAGCCACATCATTTCCACGAGGCATTCCATCAGTCAAAATGAAAGAATAGTCACTCAAGGCACAGAGTCGCCTGACATGGACAAACCACTCGACTAGCCCTTCTCACTCTCAACTAGGTTTATTCTAATCAGGAAATTTACAAGTTTTACACTTTTTTAGTCCTGGCTTTGTTTTCGCATTTAGCCTAGTGCATTCTTCTCCTTATTTCATTTGTTATGACATAAGGGGATAAAGTCCTCTCTTGTTCATAATGATAAATTAACTCATATACTTTCCAAAAATAAAGGACTCAAACGAGAATGTAAACAAAGTTGAGTTGAAATAGAATCTCCCGGTGAAGCTGTTTGCCGCGCAAAGGCCGCTAGAGAGTTCACGTCTAATAGTGATCGAGACGCTTTATACTTTACTAACGTTTTCACGAAAGAACAATTTTCTCAATTATTCGCACGCTTTTAAGATTTGGACTTAAAAAAAAAAATTCGGCCAACCAGCGGCTGTTTAGAGTAACCTCAACATCGCAGTAATTTTCAGAGTTCTAACGAAGCCCAGTCGTAAATACCATTATTTAACAAATTTCTGCGGTCATGTTAAGCTACCAGTATCAGAGGTATTTGGAATGTGTCTTAATCCCGATTTTTTTTCATAGCTAGGCCATTCATTTTTACTGCGAAGAATCTCCTCAATCAAAATACAATGGGGTAATGTGGAAATGATTCGTTAAAAACAATTATTGAATAAATAGAATAACACTGAAAAACCTCTTATGTCAAAGTCTGGCAATTTTCATTGCGGCCTCAGTTTAATCTTAGAAACAAATGTAGGAGGTTTTCTATTGAATGGAAATCA